CTCTTGAACATTTTGAATGTATTGGGACCATTTTTCGAACCAGATGCATTCAGAATGGTGTGCAGTGGAGCAAGACCCCTGTATCAGACCGGAAAGACAGCTCCATGGTATATAGCTCAATGGAATATTGCCGACTCCCAAAAAAAAAAAAAAAAAAAAAAAAGGTGCTTAATGGAATATTGCAACTCCTTCGAAAAACAACAAATGCATGCTTAAACCACCAGTACTTGGCCCAGCTATGGATGGCGAGCCGGGATACCCCCTGCGTGCCGATTTTCGCCGAAGCGTCGGGGTACCGTTTCAATTTGTTTTTTGTGCTGGCGCTGCCAGCCATTGTGGTCCGGTACCCCGAAGCCCTAAAGGCGCGGCGCGTTAACGGGAAAGCGCCGCGGCCGATAGCTGGGCCAAGTACTACTTGGCCCAGCTATCGGCAGCGGGCGATTCCCGTTAACGCGCCAGTAGTTGCGCGCATCGGGGCACCGAACCACAATGCCTGGAAGCGCCAGCCAAAATGAAAACGAAACAGTGTCCCCGTGGCTCGGCAAAATTAGGCGCGCAGGGGGTATCCCAGCTCGCCATCAATAGCTGGGCCAAGTACTGGTGGTTTAATGGAATATTGCAACTCCTTCAAAAGAAAAACAATATTTGCATGCTGAATAGAATATTGCGAGTCCTTCAAAAATAAAAAAAAAGGAATTACGTGCGTAGCTAGGCTACCAAAGTGGGCCGGGACCACTTGCCTGGCCGGACAAAAAATAAATAAAAATTAAAAATTAAAAATAACTTTAATTAAGTTTAATAAGAAAATCTTTCTTTTTTTTTTGGTAAGCAATTTCGATGTCACCCTGAGGCAAAAGTTGTTCAGTTTATTTTTCTGCATACATATCCGGGGGGATCATGGATCTTCTTGAAGGGAACTGTTGACTTGTGACACACGGCAACAACTTTGAAGCATGGAACACAGGGTAGGTGTGGAGGTGTGCTAGAATCTCTATAGTGTAGGACGGTCCATCCTCTCTGCCCTTGACCTCTATATGCAGGCAGTAACTTTTGCGAGATGTTCTCCTCAGGTGCAAACTCTTTAGACTTGACCCAGACCAGGTCGCCTACCTGAAACTGCGATGGGCGGCTGTGCTTATTGGCCTCTTCTATCCTCTGGTGCTGGGCCTTCCTGAGGTTTTCAACATGTACAAACGGCCCAGCAAGATAAGACATTTACAACGAGGGGGGAAAAAAAAAGGCCGGCATGCGAGGACAAAATTTGCGGACCCTCAAATTTTCAGGGTCGTTGAGTCATCCTTTCTGAGCGCAAAAAATCGCAGAAGTTGGGGTACTTTTCCCGTTGGCCCACACATGGTAGAGTGGCAAAAACGGAAAATGCAACGAGACGGCGCGGCATTTACATATATATTTTTCCTGGAAAGAGCACAACCTAATCTACAGGATCTCAAATTTTCAGATTTTTTTCATCCATTCTTCTGATCCCACAAAATCGCCAAACTTGGCGCTTGAAAATCCTCGGACCGGACCCTCGAACGGGAACCACTGATTTACAAATCTTATTAACAACAGAATTTAGCGAACGACGTCAAATATTGCTATGGATTGCTTTTTCGAAGTTTTTTTTTTGCATCTTTTGCAGTGAAAGTACCTATGGTGCCAGTTCATATTTGATTACATGAAGCTCATGGAGAAGCACCCACCGACCGCTGGATCTGTTATCTTAGCGGCCTGCGCCTGCTGGTCGTCGCCCCCCCATAAGAACCCGGTCCGTAAGAGGTCGGGAAAGTCGAAGTTAGCCCGGGCAGGTGGTTTAAAGCAACAACACCTTTTATCAACCAAAAAAAAAAAAAAAAAAAAAAAAGCACCACCACCACCCGTCACTATATGACAAATGCAAGAACACTAACTACAGACACCGTGTTGGTGCACCGTCAGACATTCCAAATTTTTGCATAATCTGACGCCATGTGTGAGCAGATCAGAGCCGTCACTCATTTGCCGATAACAACTTACTTGACGGAAATTAGCAAATCCGTATGCAAGGATCATTTTTGAATGATTTTCTCTTTTTTTCTTCGGGGAAACTCACCTTCGGAACCTTCCATGATATGATGTATTGAAAGGAAATTAGCCGGGAAAAAAAAAAAAAAAAAGGAGGAACACACTACATATATGTAAATCCATCAGCAGCAAAAAATGAAAATAAAAATAAAAATCCAGCACCAGGACAGAAAAACGGAACTCAAATCAACAAAACTCAAATCTTCCAATTTCCGTCAAAAAACTGCATCAACCCCTCCTCCTCCTCCACTTCGTGGTGCGCTAGGTACTTGCAATATGTCTCCAATTCAAGCTGCTGCTGCTGCTGCTGCTGCTGCTGCTGCTGCTCTCTCTCTCCCAATCCCCATGCTTTCCCATTACAAAGAACTCCTCCTCCTGCTCCTCCTCCTCCTCCTCCACCGACCTTTCTCCATACGTTCTGCTTCCATCAGTAGCGTCGCTGCGTCCCGGCATGGTCACTGTCGCCGTTATTCATCCTCGTCATAGCCATCTCTATCTATAGCTATTTGTGATCCGCTTTGAAGTGCCCAAAAATAGGCAGATATCCAAATGTCCAGATATTACGCCATTCCTCTTCCTCTTCCTCCTCCTCCTCCGCCTCCTCCCCGCTTTCTCCATACGCTCTGCTTCCATCTGTCACATCGCCGCATCCCTCCATGGGCATTGCTATCGTTCTTCAACGTCGTCATAGAGATCTCCATAGCTATTTGTGATCCGATTCAAAGTGCCCAAAAATAGCCAGATAGGCTGAGATAGCCAAATAGCCGGATAGCCGAAAAGCACTGTAGCCAAACGACATTGCGGCCTTTCAGATTTCAAATCGCAGCGACTTCATCCCCAAACGTGCGGATAACGAAAACAGAACCAGTGAAGAGAGCCGCCGCCCGAACGAGCCTCTGCATCGCCGATACATATCACAAAAAAGCCACCAAGTTCGTCACCGAGTAAGCCATCAAGCGAGCCAGCATATAGCCAAAATGTTGCCTTTCATTATAGCCAACCAAACTGTCCCAAATAGCGGCATCATAGCCAAATAGCAACACACACAAGGATCAATCAAACCCATCAACCCAATCAGACCAATCACTCAACGCAAACAAAGTCAAAGCACTTAACCCAATCCATCGTCAAACAGAACTGCCCTGCAAACCATCGGCAGAGAGGGAGGGAAAACAGGACAGCAAACGAGGGAGGGTCTGTGACAATACTGTTTTCATTTTGGCGGGCGGAGCTTCACCAACTCATCAGGACTCATCAGGAGGGGCTGTGAAACTCCGACGAAATGAAAATCAGGAGGGCTGTATATATCATGAGACAGAACTGCTCGGTAAACCATCGGCAGAGAGGAGAATATATATATATATATATATCGTCAAATATATATATATATATATATATATATATATATATATACTGTTTGACTATATATATCGTCAAATAGAACTGCCCGGTATATATATATATATATATTGTCAAAGAACTATTGACTAAGAGCATGAGCACATGAAGTAGAAGAAGAAATGAGATGAGCAAAGAAAAGAAAAATGAAAGGACAGACAGGCAAAGAGACAGACAAACCAGAATGACACTTTGTTTCACAGTATTATTATTTCTTTCAGTGTTTTACAAAAAACATTTACACTGAATCAAAGGATAAAAATAAAAAACAAAGAAAAACATTTACATTGAAATCATTCAGTTTCTCAGTCTTCTTAACGCCTCCTCCACTGTGCCTCTAACGTACAAGGCTCGCCACGTTGATGAAGTTGAGCGCGAGCTGCCCCCATCCCCATATGCCATAACAGCCCACTTGCACGCTATGGGAAAGAGGCAGAGTGAAGGAAGAGGTGTCAAACACAAGGGAGAGAGGAGCAGAAAAGAAAATCGATAGGCAGAGGGAGAAAAAAATAAAAATAAAATAAGGGTGACACAAACATCTTCTTTCTTCTACTGCATTCTTCTTTCTTTCACAGTTTTGCAGTTTTGGAGAAGAGTCTACCACGTCCATTTTTCAGCGCACCTGCACTTCCTTCTTCATTTTTTATTCTCATTTTCACCCTTCGGACTTTTTCTTTGAGGGTGTTAGGGTGCAGGGTACAAACAAAGTAAAACGCCACAAACTTGTGTTCTTCTTTACTGCAGTCTTCACTGTTTTGCAGTTTTAGTGAAGGGTTTCCCACCTTTGCACATTCTTGTACACTCTTTTCAGCGCACCTGCACATTTTTGTCAGGGTGCAAGGTACGTCTAAGTAAGACCCTCACGACAGATAGGACAACTATCATAAGGATGCGGGCGATGGTAGCAGCCCTCCCGCTGATCTATAGGACGAAAACCATTCAGGTAAGCAACTTC